CTTGGAGGATCATCTCCTTGAGGAGCAACCACTCTCCTTGTAGCACATGTAGCCAGTCTAAATTAATTGTGCAATTAACCAAATAATTGCATAATAGATGTAACATGTAGAGCAGGCCTCAGACACTGCTGCATTTGACAGAACACCCTGGGGGAAAACCTCTGTACACACAGAACAGCGCAAGGGAGTCAGTGCTGGGGGAAGGGGCATCCTGATGCTTCACAGGGCTGCTCCCGCACGGGTTCCCAGGACAGGTGCATGCAAACTGCAAATCACTCAAGCAGCCAGTATTCCTGCTGGCCTACCACAAGAGCAGCTTTCGTTTCTCTCATATGCCAAGGGAAAGGGAATGGATCTATTGGGGCCTTGGAACAGCTCCTACTGCTGGAACAACACTAAGCGCACTGACACCTGTTGGCACTAGGAAGCTGACAAGATTTGACTCCTAGCACAGTACTGAGCAGGGTGACACCCCAATGGTGCACAGGATAATCGCTACAATAAGTGACCACAGGGTCCACAATAAAAGGTCCAGCAGATATCCCCAAATCCCTCCCCATTCTTTACTGACAAACAGAGGCAGTAGCTAACCCTGGGTAGTCAGGAAGCGTCTCAATGTTCCCAGTTACTGACCTTACAAAAATCTTCTCCATCTCCTCCAGTCTGTACACTTCTTTCACACTGTGCGGGGGTGGGGGGAGGAAGAGAGAAATGTTCAGGGGTTGGATTTATCCCACCTTTCTCAGCCAGCCCCTGTTGCGTGTGCCACTACAAACCCTTACAGTGTAAAGCAGGCAGGTACAGCTAAGGTTCACCCAGCTCCTCAATCTCATCCCCTGGAAGACTGCTCCTCACAGCACAGAGGAGACTGACTCCTGCACCACTCACAGCTCAGTCCATGTAGAGGCCTTGTTCTCACTGCTGCAAAAGCTGCATTTTTTACCTCAGACAAACAGAAGAAACATGCAGCGAAACCCAGGCACTTCAGTTTTACTGCGAGGTAAGTTCACTCAGGTCTGCCCCTGACAGAAGCACAGTGCTGGTCTTGTGATAAAGCTGAAGTGCCTGGTCTTCACTGTGCATTTCCCATGGGACAGCAACAGCTTATGCAGAGATGAGAAGCCCAGTCATCATTCTCCTGCTCTGAAATCACCCCAAATTATTTCAAGCCACTTCCACTCCATTTACTTTGGGGATCTCCAAGGCAAAGACATCTGGAGAAACCTTTTCAACAAACGCAGCACGATCCATGCTGCCACCCCTTCAAGCCTCCCTCCCCAAACACCACTACAAGTGCCAGGCTTCCAGAGACAGAGATTTAAAGTCCCCACAGCAAAAGCTGTATTAGTGAGGCGGCCTCACTACACTCTGAGAACTTCTCCCAGCCCAATAGCTTGCAATTCTCCCTGCCAGCATCATGGACACCCTGGCTGAAGCCACAGGCTGTCTGCAATAGCATTAACTAAGACATGCTTGCCATCCACCACGAAGCCACTGCTCTCAGACTTCTACCCATACTCTCCCCCACCCTTGCTGGCAACTCCCCCCCTCACAGTGCCTGACCTCTCCCCCACTCAGATCCCTGTTCTATGTCCTCATCCTAACACATGGCACAACAAAACCACTGAGGAACAAAACTGAGGCTTAAAGTGATGGCTTTCAAAACCCTACATAGCTTTCTTTTTTAAGGGATTCAGAGCCAGCCAGCTAGCAGCACTGCTAGATTCAGTAGCTGCATGAACTTACTACTATTTCCCCTCCCCCTGCTCCTTACACTCCCCTGTTGTGGCTTGTTGTCCCCCACTCCACAGTATAGATTCTCTCTTCCCGTCTGAAGTTCAGCACAATGAGGCTCCAATCATCTGGGCCTTTGTGTACCACCCAAAGGACAGGAGGTCAAAGAACAGACAAAGCTAGAGCACTATTCCAATAATTTATCTGGGAGTGTTTTCCATCTGAATGAAAGCTCAAGAATATGTCTAAAGCCTCATCTCCTCAGATTAACCCTATGGAGACCACAAGCTCTGCTGACACTCAGAAATAGCCCCTATTCAGTTTGCAGTGGTCAGCAAGCAGTGTGGCTGTACCCCTCCTGCCACCTCAATGGAGACAAGGTGGGAAAAGGGCTTTGCATTTATTGAGTTAATTGAGGCTTATGCCCAATTACAAGAATGTCCTTGATATCAGCACTGGCTACTCCTGGTACGTACAAGGCAGATTTATCTGTAATCTACAAAAAGTTAATCTGAGGGTACCATGAACAACAGTCACCCACATCATCTCTGAAATGTAAAAGGGGACTCCTCACCACCTAGCTGATATGACAGTCTATAACACAGATTCTCCCAACTAGGGTTCTGTGGCAACCTGAGAGCATTATGGGATGCCATGCAATGTTAGCACTGTTAGGGATGCAAACATGATTCACAAGATAAACCCAGAGATTTCAAGGAATCTTGAACTAGGAATCCATAATGTTAAAACCATTCTGATCTGGTGTGGTCTGAGTTCTCTGCAACAGAAGAATTGCTCTGTTAATTGTTCTGTAGTCAAAAAAGAGTACAAACTAAGAGCTGACATTTTTGGAAGGGTGCCTCAAGTCTAAAAAGGTGAAAAACACTATTTTATAAGCTCTCATGACCTTCATCCTCCTGCAAACTGACCCCAGCAGCCCAAAAGTGAGAGGAACACTCACTTACCGAATGGGGTTCATATCTGGCCGGCTAGGTTTAGAAACAGCTTTGACAAACTTCTCTGCAAGCTGAATCCTGGAACAAAAAGGAAAAAGAAAGAGTTCTGTGGTTAGCAATGGCTCATACAGAGGAAGTAGGGAGTATCCCCAGAACAGCAGCAGAGCGCTGATGAGCCCTTTCCATACACAACACACTGCCCTGTGTGACCCTACCACCAGCCTAGCATACCCAAGAGCTCTCCTTTACTCAGTGCCCCTGCTCTGTATTGATCCAAGTAGCAGCTGCTGGGCTCATTCAGTAGGAGTGGCTCCCCAAAGGCTGTCTGACAGGCTTCATCCAATAATGTACGTACCCCACACGCTGCTGAGCACAAGCATCAACAGGGGAGCAGAAGTGGCCAGGATGCTAGTGAGGAAAAGACTCCTCCACTCTGCAAGTCCCAACCCTGCCCCCTCAGACTCCTGGGGATGCTGAACCTATCCTTTTTGTGGCTGACTCACGCCAGCCTTGTCTACACTTGCTTGCTTCAGCCATCAGAGCTTCTAGAGACAGAAAGGAAATGCCACCACCAAGCCACCAAAGCATAATGGCTTTGTTTTTCTCAGCAGCTGCACCAACAGTCTGTGAAGTGCCCCTCTGGTAAGGTACCAGCTGTTAAAGGGACCATGGCAGTCAGCAGAAGGCACAGGAGAGTCTACAAGAACCTTCTGCCAGCTAATGGACAGCAGAAATACCCTCATTCTGCTGGCAAATTCAAGACTTCTCTGTTGCAGGGGAGCTGTAGCTGTAGACACTCAAATTGTCACCAGCAAAACTAATGCAATTGTGTAGCATAGGCAAGGCCTAAGGTGGGAATCAGGCCTTCTCTGATCCACAGAGGGAGTGGGGAAAAACAGACTGAACCACTTATG